GGGCAGTGCCAGTCCCGGCTTGACACCCACTTAGTCATGCGTCTGGGGGGATCTGGGCAAAGCCTCTGTTTTCTCCTCTAATATTTATCGAGTGCCTACTGAGCAGACTCTGCTGTGCGTTTTGGGATACACGAGTAAACAAAATAAACCAAAGATTCCTGTCCTCGTGGAAGAAAGGGGGTGTCCTCGCTCCCGCTTCATCAGATCATTGTTAAGGTTTACATGAAATCCCACACACAGTGCTGAGCTCCTAGTAGGCATTCAATAAATGTGTTTTCTCTTCTCCTAGCCAGAACCCCTTTGCTGTACAGGAATCCCCTTGTGGTGCCTCTAATAGGTAGCTCCCAGGCACTTGCTTGCATATCTCTGGGGCCAGGTCTCTCACTACCTCCCAGGGAAGCCTCCGCCCAGTGATGCTTTTTCCTCTCCTCTGAAGGAACTGGGGGGTCTCCCTGCCTCCATGGCCTTAGGCGTGTTACTGCATCTCTTCCAGAAGGGCCTATCGCTGCCGCTGCCGTTCCCGCTGCTGGAGGTGGCAGTGCCTGCAGCCTGCGCCTGCCTCCTCCTCCTCCTCTTGGGGCTCCTCTCAGGGATCCTGGCGGCCAGAAAGCGCCGCCAGTCAGAGGGCACCTACAGCCCGAGCCAGCAGGAGGTGGCCGGAGCCCGGCTGGAGATGGACAGTGTCCTCAAGGTGCCACCCGAGGAGAGACTCATCTAGGCCCACCTGGCTGTGGCTCCAGCACCTGTGAGGTCCTCACCTTCTACCTGGAGACCGAAGGAGGCCACTTCCGGGAGCCTCCCGGGCCTCGGGGAGCTGCTGCTGGGCCCAGGATACCTGCTGGGGAAGTGGCCCCTTTGCTGGGGGCCCTTGCCCCGTCCTGGACTGAGGGGAAGGGGCGAGCTCAGGGAAGCAGAGAGAGGCTTGGCGAGGTTGTGGACATTCTCCATCCAACCGCCCGGTCTTAGCCTTGGCAGGCACACGGCTGTGCCGGGAGGAGCACCTGCGGGTGCACACGACGTGTTCAGGAGTGTGTGTGAGTGTGCGCGCGTGCACGTGTGTTTGTACCTGGGCCTGTTGATCTGCAGATACCAGTGTGAGTGTTACGGATGGGGCTCACGGGCACGTCCACGTCTTTGCTATTTGTGCACGTGACTGTGTAGTGAGTGCAGGTGACCCCGCGGAGGGGCAGCTGGGCAGTGGAGACCACCTTCTCAGCCCCGGGGCAGGGGCAGCCCAGGGCCACGAGTTCTCCTGGAGGCCAGGCCAGGGCTTGCCCAAGGACCAAAGCCCCAGCTCCGGAGGCTGCCCCAGCCCTGAAGGCAGCTGGAAATCAGTGGGGTGGGGGGCATGAGCCAGAAGTTAATGTGTGAGCTCCTGGCTCCCCAAACAAGTGCTCCCTGAGGCAGGTCTGTTTCTGCCCTCTGCGGCAGCCAGGCACCCGCTGGGATGCAGGACTGAGGGGCAGACCTGCAGGGGTGGGGCGGGGGGGGGGGGGAGGGGGTCTGGGCCACTGCAGCCTTCCTCCTGCAGGCCTGTCACTTATAGAATGGGGAAAGCAGCCCTTGCCTACCTCACGGGGCTGCTGTGAGGATGGGCAGGGCAACAGTCGGGAAGGAGCTCTGGAATTCGTTAAAAGTCCAGTCCGCTGTGAGGGCTGCCCGGGTCATCCCAAGGTGTCGGGAAGGGAGAGGGTGAGAGCGGGGAAGGGGCCTCCCTGAGGGGTAGCAAGGGGGCCAGAGGGCGATGATGACAGAGGAGCAACCCTCCCTGCCCACCTTGTGGTTCTCCAGCCCCTCCGGCATCAGCGCTCTCTCCAGGCTGCCTGGCGAGTCCGCTCTTTCACCTGCAGACCAGTCACCTCTCTAATGGCCGCTGGGAGGATTCGAGGAGGGCCTTGCAGGAAGCCCTCAGGGTTGTTTGCTGAGGCAGGTGCTTGGCAAATGTTGGCACTGTCTCTGTATCGGGGCTGGTCCTGCGGACAGACACAGATGAAGGGAAGAACTGGCCGCTTTGCTTCCAGTCCCTTCCCTGGTGATGCCATCACACTGGGAATCTCTGATCTCTGAGGGGCACTTGCCTGAGGGCCTGGCCTCTGAGCTTCCGAGTCCCTTGGTCCCTGACCTGGAGATGTGCCCTTTGGTCTTTCCCATTTCCCAGGCCAGCGCCCCCTGTGCCAAGGCCAGGAGACCCCTTTCCACTTCTCGACTGGAGGTGGACTTTACCCATCTCCCCTAGGGGTCTCAGCCAGCTTCCAGAGGCACAGGAGTCAAATGTGCGGTGGAGGAATGTGGGGATGGAGGCAAGGGAAGGGGTGAACGGGCTGAGACTGGGATGCGACGGGCCCTGAGCACTAGGCTACGGGGCTTGCTTGGTCCTTATCCTGTAGGAGGTGGGACCACCTTTTCCCCCAACTTTCTCCCTGACTCCTGGAAAAGTGGGGGAGAAAACATCTGGTAGCAACAACTTAGCCCCAGCTGGTGCCTTGGTTAGTTTATTAAGTCAGAGATTTGGCAAACCTGTGTTCTTGCAGACTCCTAAGACAAGACATTCTGGGTGGAACCCCAATATATAAAGGCTGGGCTGTTCTTTTTGTCCTTCTCTTGCTTCTAAGGGTTCTGGGTACCTGTCATTTTCAAGCGCAGCCCAGGGAGGGGGACACAGCCCAGGGAGCCGAGTGAAGGGCAGATGGGGGAACGGGGTGTGTCTAACACCCTCTCTGGGTGCTTGGTCCAGGTGTCCCTCCCCAGCACAGCCAACAGAGGTGCAGACTCCAGGCTCTGCCCTTGCTACTGAGAGGTCTGTGGGAGTAAAGCTCCAGGTGTCCCCTTGAACTTCTTTCCTGGAGCCTGGGTGCCTTCAACATCATTGGTGACCTGCAGCCCTGCTCCGTGGATCCGGCAGGCCTGTGCACACCTGTGACCAGTCCAGCCCCTGGGTCCTGCTTGTAAGAAGAAGGGGCTAAGCTGGGCTCAGAGGCCCGAATGGTAACAGGCTTAGGAGTGGGCCAGGCGTCAAAGCCTTCCCTGACTGCTCCAAGCCCGGCCTCTACCTCTACAAACAGGGATGCTGAAGATGCCTGAGGCCTCGCCTCCCCGCAGAGCTTCCTCAGGACACAGGGATACCAGCCTTCTCCCCAAGAAGATTTTATTGAACGCACACACACAATTCGTCCTTGGATTTTCACATTCAATCCAGCAAGTGGAGAGACAGCAGTGCTCATGTGAACATGGAGCACTTGCCACCAGGCCCCAGCACAGCCAGGGAGACCAGGGGGTGGGCTCCGCTTCCCTGGGGCCACCTGGTACCTCTTGCCTTAGACTCTGCCCACTGGGTGGGCTACCCTATACCTGATGGGGCTCAGGGGTCTGCCCAGGGTGGGTGGATCTGGAATCTCTACTGAAACACCTGAGTGTCCTAGAGGTGCCCACATGGCCCAGACATGACACGGCTCCCCGCTTCAAGCAGCCAGAGGACACTGCCGAGATTTAGACAGAAGACTTGCCCGAGGGGCTATGACTGACTGAGGAAGGGGCTGCGTGCTGGGCCAGCAGCTCTTCACACCCCGCGTCAGAGCAAACCTGAGGGGGTGGTCTCCTAGCCCCTCAGATGCTGACCAGGCTCCCCGGGGTTACGAGGTCTCTAGGAACTCCCCTGCCCCGCCAGACACCCCTGAGACTGTATGTCTGACCATTCACAAATAGGAAATGAGAAATCAGGTCAAAATGCTCACAATTTCCTGCATGTCTCAGATGGTTGTTTTTCTAAAATGGTTGGGCCACATTTTAACTTGGTTTATTGAAACTAGTCAATTTCAAGATTCATCAAATCAATAAAGTAAAAAGGAAAAGAAAGATAAAAGAAACAATAACAAAACGTTTCAACTTAGCTTTGGGGATGCTGACCTCAGGGAAATAGGGAGGGGCGGCTCCAAGCCCTTCTCCTGCCTCCAGGCTGCAAGAAGTGTGAGAGGCCAGGCCCGCCCACTCCCCAGGGCCCTGGAGAGGGTCTCGGTGCCCTCCTGCCCCAAGCTGCCAGGCAGCTGGGACTCCTGCACCTCTGTGGTGCTAAGCCTGGTCTTCCCGTGGGAATGTGGGTGTCTGCTCCTCAGTTCTGCCCCCTTAGACCCACTCCGCAAGAGGCCGAGTCCCGCTTGACAGTAACTCAAGACCAGGAGAACCTGTGGGGACCAGAGGGAGAGTGCGGGGCGGCAGCCTGACCCCTCCTGGTGCTCTCAGATTTACCTGTTGCCATTTTGTCGTCTACAGATCAGAGTTGCTGGTGCTCTCGGGCCCCACGCAGGGCTGTCTGGGGCTTGGTTTGGCTACCGGGAGGGATTGCAAGGATGCCTCAGCTCCCAAATTCCTACCAAGCCAGAAAAGCGAAGTTTGGGGGTTGGGGTGAAGACTCAGACTCAGGAAAGAACGAGTGTGCATATTGCTAGAGAGGGTTTGGAAATGCCTTGCCAGGTGCTCCTCCAGCCTGGGAGGGGGGGTCCTTACTGCAAACTCCAAACCATGTGCGTCTCGTGCAGACGAGCTCATGCCGAGGGTACTGCCAATGCCTGCGCCCATCAAGGTGGGGTGTGCAGGGCTGGGCTGCAGTTGGGGCAGGAGAACAGGGCTCAGGAGGACACATCCTGAGGCGGCGTGGGGCTCCTGGTGGGCAGTTTCCAGAGGGAAGCTGGGTAGGATGGGGTCTGGGGCAATCATCGGCCCAGATGACCTCTCTAGTGCAAAACCCAATCAGGGGTGCAGGGGAGGGGTGGTGGCAGGGCGGGACAGGTGCCCAGGAGCTAGGTTGATTCCCAGGCTGGAACTGGTGCCATTCTCCAGAGATGGGCAGTGTGGAGAGGAGGAGGGGCAGCAGAGAGGGCTCCCAACCCTTCCCACCAGTAGAACCTGGACAGAGACAGAGCAGCAGGGGAAGCAGGGCCGGCCAGCCGCAGAGCTGCCGCGGTGGGCAGCCGGGCCTCAGCTCGCCCCCAGCACTCAGCGCCCGCTCACTCGAAGGTCTCCCACTGCTTCCTGAGCTGCTCCACTGAGCTGGGGGCTGGGGCCGGGCTCACATCTTGCTTGGTTTTCCGTAACAAATCCTCAAAGGGGTCTCTGGCCTCTCGTGGAGCAGATGGCTGCAGTGCTGGCTCCAGGCCCTGGGGGGCTCTGGGAGGAAGGAGTGGGGTGTCTCCAGGCCTTAGCGCCAGCCCTTGCTTGGCCTCGGCGGCCCTGGCACTTGAGCGGGCCAGGGGCAATGTTCGGATCCTTGAAGGGGCGACTGCTGGGGGACCCAGGGGCTGCAGGGAGTGGGCACCCATGGGCATCTGGCCAAAGAGGTTGGGCATGGAGAGGGCAGACAGGTTGGGCTGAGACCTCTGTGGGGCACAGAAGCCAGAACTGGACAGCAGGAGGCTGGGGGCAAAAGCGGGCCCCAGGGAAGCAGGAGGGGCCCCCAAAGGCCCAGCTGGTGTGGAGACCAGGGGCATGGCAGGCAGTGTCGCTGGCACAGATGGGACAAAGGGGTTGAGTGATGGCTGTGGAAATGGGGTGGGGGTCCCCATGGGGGGGAAGCTAAACTGGGGAGTAAATGGGGTGGCTACATTTGGGGCTGTAGGACCTGGTGGAAGGGTACTGCCTGACCAGGCTGTGCTAAGTGGGTCCAGGAGGGCCAGCAGGGCATCACTGCCTGTGTCCGCAGCCCCCGGGGCCAGGCTGAGTGGCTGGAGCAGTTCGGTGGGGTCTTGGGGGGCAGCGCTGGGGTGGAGCCCGGGGATCGTGGCTGAGCCCAGGGCAGCCCGCCTTTCCCGCTCCGCCTGCAGCCGCTCTGAGGAGAAGTCGCCGAGGGCAGTGCCGGCAGCCTGGAGCTTGGCCGGGCGGGCAGTGGGGGGTGGGGGCACGATGCCCAGCTCCGGGGTCTTCCTGCCCTGGGGCCGGGGGATGGTGATGCTGCCCAGAGTGGGGGTGGGCACCTCCTCCTTGTCGGTGGGGTTCAGGATGCCGTCCCGGTTCTGGGGCCTGCTGGGCAGGGCCGGGGATTTCCCAAGCAGGGCCGAGGGCTTCTCGGGGGAGGTGGCAGGAGGCTTGCTGGGGACGGCCATGTCGTCCTGGCCCAGGCTCCAGAGCTTGTTGTGTGGGTGGGCGAGCTTCAAGGCTCCTGGCATCCCACGGCTCCTCTCACTCCTGCCCAGGTCCAGCCTCTGTTAGAGGGAACGAGGGAGGCAATGACCACAGGCTGACCTGAGACAGACTGGCAGGCAGCATATCCCCCTCCCCCCCGCCCTCCTGTGTGCCAGGTGGACACTGGGACTGTGGTCCTGGGAGTGTGGCTGACTAGTCCCTGGGACCCAGAGCAGTTGGGGGCTCGGCCCAGGTCAGCGGCAGAAAGCGAGCCCAGGTCTGTCTGCACTTGAGGCCAGGATTCTCTCACTGGGTGGCACAGAGGGCCTCCAGAGAAAGTTCTGTCTTTTCAAACCAGTGCTGCCAAGTAGTTTTAGGAAAAGGACTCCACCTACTGACCCTCTACTGGGGTGGCCCATTTTACTTTTCAAAGCGTGCGGGCACTTTCAACCACCCATTAGCCCAAGGGGGCAAGTGCGGCTCAGGGCCTGGGTGAAGGCACACTGGCTGGGAAGGAAATAGGAGGGCTGGGCTCAAGTCCCAGCTGTGGCACCTATAGGGCCCACGACCTGGGCGTCACATCCCTTCTCCTGGCCTGAGCTCCCTCGTGGGCAGCCTGGGAATAGCAATTCCCTGCAGAGGGGCAAGCGTGAATCATCAGATACGTGGGAGCTTTGTGAATTCCACACTGTGACCCAAGGACTGCAGAGTCAGCAGCCCCCAGTCACAAGTGAGGAAATCGAGGCACAGAGAGGAGGTGTGCCTGACTGAAAGTCACAAGGAAGATCAGGGGTCACACGCTAATATCCAGAGCCCAGGAACTTTGATTCACAGGCTCTCCAAGGAGCCTTGGTGGGGTTGGGATAATTAATCCCAGTTCCACCAGGGGCCATAGCCCTGCCCACCTCTGATGCATGAACAGAAGTGGGGGGGCAGATTTCCATCAGGCTACGGCATCTTCTTCAGTGATCCCTGTGAGGCGGGGCGGGGTCTGGCCATTGGCCAGCCTGGCAGGGTTTGCAGTCAGAGTGACTCTGAGTGTTGGCTGAGGACCTCAGAAAAGTCGCTGTTTCTCCCTTGGTGTCTTTTACTGTCACAGGGGGAAATCTACCTCATGTGCAGAAAGTGCCCCCAGCCAGCGCCCCCCGCCCCCCACCCCAGCATACCTGATAGTCAAAGGTCCCCGGCTGCTCCCTCAGGTCTTTGGGGGGCCGAAGGTCCTCCAAGCTTTTGGCCTGGCCCAGCGGCTGCAGTGGGACCTCCATGTCGAGGCTGCTGAAGACGTCCTCCAGGAGGTCGATGCTGGCAGCCCGGTCAGGCGGAGCTGGGGTGGGGCCCACGGGCTCCCGCGCTCGCTGCTCAGGGCTCTCCGCCTCATCTCCCGCGCTGTCTGACTCCTTGAGTGCCCGATACGGCTGCGGCCTGGGAGGAGGCAGAGCAGGCTGGATTCTCCTACTCAGGGCCTCCCCGGGGGGAGCAAGCAGCCCTCACCCCCGAGAACTTCCAGGCCTCAGGGAGCTCACCCAGGAGCCTTGGGAGAGGAGAGCTGTCCTGGGTCCCTGAGACTGTAGGCGCCTGGGCAGCTGCACCCTGACAGACCTGGGCTGAACGTGGCTTCTGTTCGCTCAGGGACCTTGGGCAAGTTGCTCTGGCTCTAGCTTGCACTGGGGGCCCCGCTTAGTTTCCTCCAAACCACAGGACCCACCGTAGAACTGGCTAGTGGGCTCACACGCCATTCACACAAGGCGTGAGGAATAGGACACGTCTGGAGAGGGAACAGGCAGGAAGACTCAATCCTGAGCCCACTGTCTGCACTCCTACCCCTGCAGCAGGTCCTGGGAACGGCTCGTGGGAACTGAGCCGGGAGAACTCTCCCCAGGGAGCTGCCCAGTGCACCCCAGGATCCTCAGTTCCAGCCCTGGTGCCATCTCTTCCTGTGGGACCTTGGGCAAGTCACTTAACCTCTGAGCTTCATACACTCCCCCATTCCAGATTGCACTCCCTTGCAGCTGGTGGTGGAGACTACATAAGCAAATACAGTGCCTGGTGCCCAGCAGGCATGCTGAGGCTGTTAACAGAATTCATGCACCAAAACCTTGCAGTCAACCCAGGTGCAGGTGACGCAGGGCGCCTCTTGCTATCCTTTCTCACAAGCCTGAGCCCCGGGGTACCTGGAGAATGGTGCCCAGATCTCTAGTGGAGCCCGGGCCAGAGCAGCATCCCACCTCCTCCAACCATGAGGCTCTGGCTCCTGGGTCAGGCAGAAACTGCCCACGCCTCTGGTAAAGTGGGGGAAGGGTGCCACCTGCTGGTCCTGGAGGCCCACTTGCACGAACCTGGGCAGGGGACAGTTGGCAGAGGGAAGGGGCTCAACTAACAGCCCTGATTCTTGGCAAGGACTGCATCAGACTGTACTAACTCCCTGAAGCCACACAGGCAGCCCATGAAGTAGGACTCACACCCCCCACTTTATAGATGAGGAAACTGAAGCTCAGAGAGGCTAAGTAATGGAACGTATGTCACACAGCACCTGGCAAGAGATGGAAATGGAAGCCAAGTATGAGAGACTTCTAAAGTCCCTCACTTGTTCTGACTAAGCCATCTGACCAAGCTCCTTTAACCAAGTTTGAACACAGTGAAGGAGATAAAGAAAAGCCAGTGTGCTTCGTAGTTAAGGACGTAGAGTTCTTTAGAACAAACCCATTTTGCTTTGAGTTAAGATGGCCACTTCCCTTTTAAACACACACAATAGCCTATGCTTTTCATAGATCATGGCTCAGGAAGTGAGCATTATTTTAAATAATTAAGGCATCAATTAATTTAAAAAGAACGTGACCTGCTGGACTCCGTGGTGGGAGAGTCCTTGGACATTACCTGTGTGGGTGCCTTTACCTGCAAGGTGATTTTAAGTTGATACATGGATGAACATTTCTTATTCCAATGATGCTATCTTTACTTCAATTAATAATAGAAATAACATATATTAAGCCTATGATATCATGAATATTATTGCTTAGGACAAGGCTTCCCTTCTAGTTTTCAAGAATAAGATTCACTGTACAGACCAGGTGGCATTCCAAGCTTGGGCAACACTGGCTTAGGCCACTGCTCTAGGTGAGGACATCAGGAGGGGACTGACTTGCCCATGGTCACAGGTGAGCTGGTGGCAGAAAGGGCCAGGACCCTCCTCCCCTGGGCGGGGCGCAGTGGCAGGAGCAGAGCTGTTGGGTTTATCAGGTGCCCCGAGGAACTCACAGGCCCAGCCTCAGGGGAGACTGGGAGCAGGGAGATGGTGAAGGGGGCTGGGAGGGGGAAGGTGGGGGAAGAGCCCTTCTATAATCTGGCTGTAACGGTTTACTCCCCGAAGGGTTGCTGTGTGTGTTCAGCAATGGGCAGTTCCCTTCCCCTAGAGGCTTCCATTAAAAACACCATGCAAGCAAATACATACAAAACCAAAGCTGTCCCTTTGCTCAATCCCAGCTCTGAAAAGCCTGTGCATGGAGAGGCAAGAATTGGCAAAGAAAGGGCAGCCACCAAAGCCCAATTCCAGGGGTGGCTGGATCGTGGTGAACTTTCTTTTTCTCTTTCTTTCTTTATTGCAATTTGTAATTAGAAGGCGGCTTAGGCTACAAATAATAATGATAAAAATTATCTTAAAGTCAGGCAGGTCAGTAAACATTTGGCCTGCCAGCATTAATATATACATTCCTCATCGGTAACGTTGTTTGAAAACTTAAAATCTGACGCTCCATCTCCATGGCTTTCCAAGATGTGCTGAGATAAAGAAAGACTCGGGCAGCAACAACCAGGCCAACTGTAGCTGCGACCGCAGCCACCAATTCCGTTAAGTCAAGTGCATTTTCCCCAAAGGAATGAGACCCATGCTCCTGTCTCACACCTCTAGAGCCCAGTCACTCTTGTCACCTCACCCCATGGTCACAGCCCCCATGGGGCTGGCAGAATGACACCCTGAGAGGAGGCACACAGAGGGGGCGTCCGTCCTGCAAGCTGGCACCGGAAAGCAGCAGCCCCAGACCCCCTCCCCACACACAAGCGCAAGCTGGCCACCCCCAGCCCTCCAAGTGGCCCCGGAGAGTCACCAAGCCGAGCTCAGGGAAATGGAAGAAGGAAGGAGAGACCATTCAAAGGGAGCGGAGAAGAAAAAGCTTTCGGTGAAGCCAGAGCTCGGGCCCTCTTCCCGCTGGCATTCATCGTCAGAGGAGTCTTCGGAGAGGAAGACAGCATAGTGTCGCAAGGGCTTTACGAGGCTGGGGTGGAGGAAGACAAGAGAGAAAACAGTTAGGAGGCACCTCGGGACTCCACGTGGCGGGGTGGGAAGGAGGCCTGAGGCTCCTGACCCTGGCCTCCCTCTGCCGGCCGGGGAGGAGGCTGCCTGGAGACGGGCCCCCCAGTGAGGAAGCTGGTCCCAAACAGAAAAGAAACTGTGGGTTTGCCACCTGTGTCAAGAGCCTTAAATGCATCTATGACCTTGTGATTCCACTTCCATTTAGATAACCCCAATGTAGCAACAAATTATGCACAAAGATGTTCATTACTGCTATGTTTATAAAACATGAGACAACCTGAACTTCCGCAGTAGGAATCTGGTGAGGTGAATTATGGTACGGTTGGCTGAAGAGTATCCTCCCATTAACTATAATGTTTATAAAGAAAAATCTAAAAGTCAGGATGCAGAATTGCAGTTATACTGCATTCTCTCTCATCTGCTTATGGAAAAATGCACAGAAAAAAGACTGGAAAGGTATGTGTCTAAATGTCAACAAAAGCTAGGGGACCCATGTCCCCTGCATTGGAGAAGCCACTGCAGTGAGAAGCCCACGCACCACAACGAAGAGTAGCCCCCGCTCGCCGCAACTAGGGAAAGCCCACGCACAGCAACGAAGACCCAAAGCAGCCCCCCAAAATAAATAAATAAATAAATTTAAAAAGCTAATGGATTATGGATTTTTTTCCTCTCTGCCAAATTTTATTTTTGTGTCTTCTCCGTTTTCTCCAATGTGCATATCTACTTCAATAATCAGGAAAAAATAAAAAAGCTAAAGAAGAAAGTGAGCCATGTGGAAGGGCACTCGCGAGAAGGCCCTTTTCTGATTAGCGGCCGCTCTCTGGAGTCTCCCTCAGATGCCTCTTCAGAGAGTCTTTTTCATCTGTGATGTGGAAATTAAATATTCATTGTTATAAAAAATACATCTCCCTTGTCAGCCACCTGTGAGCTCTACCTCTATAAACACAAACACATACACAGCCCAGAGAAACTCCACGCCAGCTTTTATGAATTATACACTGACCAGCGCCCGCGAGAGGTGTGTGCTTGGGAGAGGGGAGCTGGACCCCGCAGCCCCTGGTTCAGATCCCAGCCCCATGGCTGCTGCTCCGGCACGCGGCTGGGGAGCAGGCAGCCCACGCCTCTGCCCTGTACAGCGGGCTGGACACACACCGAGGATCCCAGGGGCAATGGTGAACTTTGGGGAGGTGGGTGGGGTAGGAGACACAGGGGTACCTGATGGGGGGCTATCTCCTCTCCCCTCCACCCCCAGCCAGAGCAGTCTCCTTTCTTTGCCTTATATGATGCAATTCCTTTCCGGTTTCATTTCAGGAAGAGGAAACATGTCCAAAAAAGTGCATGGGAACCAGGGCTGGAGAGTTAAGTGAGGGACAGCAGCTATCCCTGTGGGGCTTGGGAGAGTGGATTGTGATCGGCTGCTGCTATGGTCCACCATCACCAGCCATAAGCCAGTTGTTACCCAAATACATGCTGCCCTTTTAAAAGTGGAACCAAAGCTGGCGCCCAGGGCTGTGAGTTCCCCAGCACTGTCACACCTGAACCCTTCATTTCCTCGCATTGTCCCTGGAAGTTAGCCAGGCAAAGACTTTTGTCCTCTTACTGAAGGGGAGGTTGAGGCTCAGAGAGGGGAAGCCACTTGCCCGGGGGCTGCACAGGGAGGTCACAGCGTTCCTCTCCTCTCCCAGGCTGCCTTGCTGGGTGTCAGGGACAAGACGTATCTCAGCCTGTCCTGGACTGATGGGAGCATGGCCTAGGAGGCTCATTCTCCTCTGAACTCAGCAGAGAGGGTGGGAGGATCTGACCTGCAGAAATGTGCCCTGGCCAGCACAGGGGCTAGGCTGCCCAGTTCCTGCCTCGTCCACCGGGACATAAAACAAGGCCCAGCAGGAGGGCCACTTTCCACATGGCCACTGGAATCCTGTTCTGAATCACAGCCCTGACCTCATCACTCTCCCGCTTCACACCTGCAAACCTGCTGCTCTGAACTGTGATTTCATGAGGTGGGTAAAATGTCAGCAATACTAATGTTTAGGTGTGTCTGGAATGACTTACACGTCTGTTTAAAAGTTTGGGGGACCTGCTCTCACTCGCCAGCACTGGACTGTTCTCCCGAGCAGGGGGGCAGGCACCCTGCCTCAGGCTGCATTCTGGGGAGCTCGTGGAACACACTGGTTGGGCGGGGTGAGGGCCGCCAAGTCCAAGCTCCAAGCAGGGCAGACACCGTGCTTTGCGCCTGGCCCCGCCCACCTCTGTGTTCCTTCCCTGCCACCTCCTGCCACCTGCCCTTGCCTTTGCCTGGTGCACTGATTGCCCTTGGCCTGCAAGACAGCTCAAACCGCACTCCTACAAAAGCTTTCCTGGAGCTCCCAGCAGGGTTTTCTCCCTAGATAGAGCTGGCTTCTCCTCGGGCTGCGTGGTTTAGCGCTTCGTTAATACAGTTGAACCTCTTGCAATTCTATTTCTGAGTGGAGGTCCTCGAGGGCAGGGGCCCTGGCGCGTTCTTCTTTCTCTCCCCACCCATGGCACAGCGTTAGTGCAGAGGAAAGTTTGCTAAGCAGCCAGCGTACTGGAGAGACTAGGCCCCGCACACACCAGCTTCACCCCTCTTCTGGATCCCCGCCAGGCACATGCCCCTTTTCTCAGCTCGTGGCTGCAGTATAAGAGGGTCCCCTCTCTGGTGTGGAGAAAAGGGAATCCTCCTACACTGTTGGTGGGAATGTAAATTGGTGCAGCCATTATGGAGAATGTTATGGAGGTTCCTTAAAAAACTAGAGTTGTCAAAAAAAAACACAAAAAAACTAGAGTTGTCATGTGATCCTGCAATCCCACTTCTGGGTATATATCCAGAGAAAACTCTAGTGTGAAAGGACACATGCACCCCAAGGTACATAGCAGCACTATTCACAATAGCCCAAGACATGGAAGCAACCTAAATGTCCATCGATAAATGAATGGATAAAGAAGATGTGATACATATATACAATGGAATATTACTCAGCCATACGAAGGAATGAAATGATGCCATTTGCAGCAACATGGATGGACCTAGAGATTATCGTACTAAGTGAAGTAAATCCGAAAGAGAAAGACAAATATCACGTGATATCACTTATATGTGGAACCTAAAATATGATACAAATGAACTTATTTACAAAACAGAAAGACTACAGACATAGAAAAACTGATGGTTACCAAAGGGGAAAGGGGGGTATAAATCAGGAGTTTGGGATCAGCAGATACAAACTACTACATATAAAACAGATAAACAACAAGGTCCTACTGTATAGCACAGGGAACTATATTTAATATCTTGTAATAAACCATAATGGAAAAGAACATGAAAAAGAATACAGACCTGCAGAACGGGACCACGTCTGGGGGTGAGGGTGTTAGGTATATTGGGGCAGGTGGGAGTCTCAGAAAAATGCTTAAAATAATATCCACAAGTAGGCCCTGTGCCACGGGCTTTACATAGGTTATTTCTACCACTGCCCCCAGCAGGAAGCAGAAAGGCGTTGCTGTACAGATTTTACAGAGGATGAGACTGTCATTAGTCCATCCATCCACCTGTCTGTCTGTTCATCCACGCACCCAACCGAGAGGCACCTCCGCGTGCTTGTAGTGAGCAGACCCAGTCCTAGCTGAGCACTGCATGAAGAGGAGAGATGTGACCAAGCCACCCAGCCAGGAAGTGATGAGCAGGGATTCCAGTCCAGGGCACTCTCCTTCCTGTCCTCTGGGCTGGTCGTAGATGTGTATGAGGGGGACCCACACCTCTGCTTGGGTCAAACTGAATGAGGCTTTGGGTGGCCCTCAAATCCATCTTGAATGCCTTTCCAACACCCATCCAAGCACAGTCCCCTCCTCTGGCTTTGACAGGTAAGCAGAGAGCACAGCTTGGCACGTTAGCTGAATGCCAGGAATGTCTGGATTCACACAAGAGCAAAGAGCCTTTGTGCTGGACTGGACCTTGGCTTCATCAGCTCAGGCTGCTGCACCTCCCATCACTTTCAAAATCCAGTGCCTCCCACACGCGAGATCACGGAGGGCGCTTGGGGGTGAGGTTGGGGGAGACAGGGAGTCTCACTTTACAGCTCACCATTTTCCTCTCCAGACAGCTCTTCTGGCCAGGCCAGGCTGGTCGGGCAGTCTTGACTTCAAGAAGAGGTCCAGGGTGTCTCCTGGATACACCATCTGTCTCTCAAGAGTGATGGAACACCCAGATGAGAACTCTGTCACGTGGTTTGATCAGAGTTTCTTCAGGTCCAGGCTTTGGACCACACGGATAAGGATGATGACACCAGCAGTATTTCCAAGTGTTGGGCTAAATGCTGTCCGTACAGTTTCTGATTAATTACTCATCACATCCTCATTTTTCAGATAAAGCAGCCAAGGCTCAGAGAGGGGGAGTCACTTGCCCAGTGTCACACAGAAGTTAAGGGTAGAGCATGGAATCCAGATAAGCCTAACTCTGAACCACTCTGAGATCCTGCCTCTTCAGTTCTGTGGACCTGAAACGGTGAAATAGGGTGTTTCCCCTTCCGCTTTTGATAAAAGGTGAGATTTCAAAATAAACTTATTTAAATTCAGCTGCTCATGTTCTCCCATGAAACATACAGTCAGATATTTGTCAGAGATAAAGGACGAACCGTCGAATATGTCCAGGTTTAAATTTTTTATTACTTAAGGCAGAATATGAAAAAAAAAAGCACGTATCTCTTCCCTCATTAACCCAATTCAGCTACTACCCTGCAGTCTGCCACCCACCACTTGCCTGGATTTTATTATACACAAAGAGCTGTCTGTGAAAAGGCAGGTCGTGGCGAACTTGGCTACCCAGCAAGGACTGCCGGAGTCTCGGGGAGAAAGAAAGGCCCGCTGTCCATCACGTTCAGACCCCATCACCTCCCACGGCTGCTCCCGCCTCTGCCCACCTCATCTCGGCACGGAGTTCCCATGCAG